ATGCCCTCATCGTGCTCGTGGTGGTCCTGGACAGGCGCCTCCACACTCCCATGTACTTCTTCATCTGCAATCTCTCCTTGGTAGAGCTCTGGTACACCACAGTCACTGTGCCCAAGATGCTGGCCAATTTTCTGAGTTCCCCAGGGGATCATCTCAGTTCCCAGCTGCATCACGCAGTATTACTTCTTCTTCTCCTTGGCTGCCACCGAGCTCTTCATCCTCACCACCATGGCCTTTGACCGCTATGCTGCTGTTTGTCGCCCACTCCACTACCCACTGTTGCTCAGTCCCCAAACTTGTGGGACTCTGGCTGGGGTCTGCTGGTCTGTGGGATTCCTCTGCCCCATGTTCCCCTCATTCCTCCTCACACAAATCTCCTTCTGCACCCCCAACCGTATCAACCACTTCTTCTGAGATGCTGATCAGATTTTCCGTCTCTCCTGCACAGACACATATGCCATCCAAGTTGTGGGCTATGCCTTTAGCACTGTCATTATCCTAGGAGCCCTGTTCTTTACCATGGCTTCCTATGCCCAAATCCTGGCCACAGTTCTCGCCATGTCCTCAGCCGCTGCCCAGCGCAAGGCCTTTTCCACCTGCACAGCCCACCTATCTGTGGTAACCATCTACTTCGGCACTCTCATATTCATGTATGTCCGCCCAGCAGTAAAATATGAGTCAAACATTAACAAGATTGTGGCCATCGTCTACTCAGTCATCACCCCACTTCTCAATCCTCTTATTTATACACTCCGCAACAAGGACGTCAGGGAAGCTCTGAAGGTGTTGGTGTTCCAGATCCAAAGGGTCTGCTACCCAAGCAAGGAGACTCGGTGATGGTGCCACATGAGGAGCTGGACGAAAGCAAGAAATCTGGAGGACTATTCAACCTAAAATCATCCTTAATCATTTTCTTTTTCCTGTGCTATGTAGCTTTTAAAGCATTGAGTTTATTTATTTTATTTTTATGGGTTATCTGTGGCACATTTTATGTGAAAGAATTGCTTCCCTTGCTACTCAGTGTGTCCATATGCTTCCTGTTCTTCAATTGTTCAGCTTTTTCTGAGGGAAAAGAAATGAATCATTTCATGTTAATATTAGTGTAGGGAAATGGCACAGGTTTTGTAGTCCCTGCATCTGGACTGGACACTCTCCCACTTGCTAGTATCAGTTGGGCAAGACACTAAGACAATGAGAGTTCTGGGGAAGTAACCAAAGAACAATAAAATCATTACTTCCATCAGAGGACAGTTCTGATGTTTAATGGATCTAATAACATGTAAAGCAATGAGCAAATATTGGCTTATTTCATTACTTTAGTCTCTATCTAGCATATTTACAAAGATCAGACTTCTGCCAAAATACCTTTTTTTAAAAAAACACAATTCTTTTCTGGCTATAAAGACAAAAGATGCTTGCTACAAAGAAGTAAAATAATGCAGAACTGCATGATATAGAAAGGGAACGTCCCCCACCTTAATCAAGGAAACTTTTACATTTTCAGGAGCATCCATAATGGTGACTGCAGGACTTTCAGCTATTCACAATACCCAAGANCATTTTCAGGAGCATCCATAATGGTGACTGCAGGACTTTCAGCTATTCACAATACCCAAGATATGGAATCAACCTAAGTATCCATCAGTGGATGAATGGATAAAGGAAATGTGGTACATATGCACAATGGAATGACATTCAGCCTTAAAAAGGAAATCCTGACATTTGCAACAACATGAATAAAACTGGAGGAATTATGCTAAGTGAAATAGACACAGACAAATACTGCGTAATTACAATTGTATGTGGAATCTACATAAGCCAAAGTCAAAGTCATAGAACAAGAAAGTAGAATGGTGGTTGGCAGGGACTGGGGGGTAGGTGGGCAGAAATGGAGAGATGTTGGTCAAAGGATATAAAGTTTCATTTAGGCAGGATGAATACGTTCCGAAGATCTGTTGTATAGCATGGTGACTATAGTTAATAATAATGTATTGTATGCTTGGAAAGTGCTAAGAAAGTAGATCTTAAACGTTCTTATCACCAAAAAAAAAAAGCATGTGAAGTGAAAGATACATTAATTCACTTGATTCAATCATTTCACAATGTATACATATATCAAAACATCATATTGTATACCATAAACAGATAATTTTATTTGTCAATTACATCTTAATACAGCTGAAAAAAGAATGTTATGAGATTATAATCTGAAAGTCTTGGTTAGGAGTTGCATACAGTCATTTCAGTCAAAAAGAAAATGATTAAACAATTTGAAAAATTTTAAAAATAAAGAAATAAAGGTTTTTTCATTTCTA